ATGGATATGGGTGGGCAGCCATCTCTGTCACACTCCCTTACACCATCATGCTGTGGTGTCATGGAAAGACTTTAATTTGGAGTACCTCATTTCTTACTTCCTATCAGTTCATTTTGGAGTTCATATTTTATGGAGAGCACCAAAGGAAACCGTGCTCATGATCTCTGCAGTCAGTCATACAGACGTATTGGGAATCTACTCTCTCTGGTTTTTTTCTTCTTTCTTATCCATGTGGCAGTCTCTTCTTTTCTTGATAAAGAGGGCCAAGAATCCACAAAAAACAGAGCAAGAGGATGAGGAAGCCAAGCCCAAAGGTGGCTCTACCACCTTTTAGTTGTGTGACGCCCAGTCTAATGAGTATAGTGTACCAGCCTCCAGAGTGTGGGGAGGGTCCACGAGGTACTGCATATAGAAACACTTTGAGCATGAGAGCCACTCAATGAATAAATATGTTCGTTGATCTCTTCCTTCATTTAGGCGGTGAAGGACGATTGAATCTGGGATCAACCAAGAAAGTCGGACTTCTTTGTTGGGTTCCCACTCTAAGAAAATAGGGATGCTTTTGATATGAAAAATGTTCCACCCAAAAATGTGAACATTCTGCCCTCAGGAGTTCTCATTCTTCCAGAGCTGGTGGAACCCCTTTGCTTAGGTATATATGTAGGTGTGGAAGGAGACACCTGCAAAATACACTGAGAATGAACACATTCTTTCCCCTCCTGTGGGCCTTCTGGGTCCCTTGGAGAAAACAGGAATCCCACCATTTGCCTGGCAACCTCCTGGGGTTGGCTGTTGAGGGAAAACACTTGGGTAATTCTCAGAGTGTGGTCTCTGGACCAGCAGCAGGGGCATCACCTGAGAAGTGGTTAGCAATGCAAATTATCGGGCCCCACCCCAGGCATACTGAGTTAGAAATCTGTGTCCTAACAAGCCTTCCAGGTGGTTCTGATGCAAGCTGAAGTTTGAGAACCGCCTCTCTAAATAAAGCGCTTTGCCCACTTTCTTTAATTAGCACACTTTCCTCTCCAACGTGGAGTCATTGACTCTAGCTTCCATCTCTGCCAAGGCAGAAAGGCTGTCAAATGTACAATTCCTTCTAACAAGCCCAGTCTTTCAAATTGGGCAAGGCCTTGGTTTTGAAGACTTTTTTGCACACTGACTGAAGCCCTTATAATCCGTCTGACACAGACTGAAGTTATTGCCAAACCTCCCTATTGGGAGTAACACCTCAGATAAAGGCCTTCAGCTGTTCTATTTTCATAAGCCAGTTTATTGTGTTCAAAATGCTTTTGTTCAGGGTCTATGTACCTAGTCTGGCTTCACCCAGGGCACAGTCACAGGGCACCTCTACCTGGAAATGTTTAAATGGAGCAAAGTTTCTAGCACATTCAACTGACCTGCTTTTGGAGAAATGTACTCAGTACAATAGAAGGAAAAATAAAGTTATCAACGTACCAGGTAATAGCTTGATAATGATCATCATTGACAAAATTCTATTAGATTTGCTTATTTACTCATAAAAATTAACAAGGGAAACATGTTTGGGCTAAAATGAGCAATCTGCAGGATTTCAGGGGTGGTGCCAAATGTAATTTTTGTAGTGCCAGAAAGTATAATAAATATTTTCCCCTTACCATTGGTTGACTTGGTGTTTGTCTTGGGCTATACAGTAGTTTTATTATGGAGGATGCCAGAGGAAGATGCATGCAGCGTTCTCATGTTCAGCCAGAGACAGATTGGGACTTGAAGAGAGGGGTTTCTCCCTCATTCCCAGCCATCTGCTAATCCCCTTTGCTCAAGGAATCGTTTGGAAAGTCCAGCTCCTAAGCATCAGGAGGAGACACAGAAGCCAACATGAGAGGGAATATTTTTCCTCCTGGACTTGATGAGGCTTGGAAGAAGAAGGGAAGTGGTGAAGGACCAACTCATTCTTCCTGCCGAGAGCCTACCATGTGATATAAGGGTGATTTGGTTGTGAATTAATATTAGCTGATTTGTTTTAATAATGGAGCATCTCACTAGGTAAGTTTTTAAGTCATCCACCAAATTATTAGGTGGCTTGTGAGGGATTATTGTAGCACATTCTATATTTGAGGAATTATTGGAAGACGGGTAGAAAGGACACATTTTCAGTGTTGGTGATCAGTAGGCTTGAATTATAAAAGGCAACACAAGATGTCCAGCCAGGACAGATGGAGCTATGCTCCCGAAGAGTAGTCACTGCCTCTGTTGACTTAAGGACTCAAAGTCTTTAGGAGAGACCTCAGCATACCAAGATATTTATTTATGTCCTAAGTGCCTCTAGAGTTCTCCCTCACTGCTTCCACCAGCGTAACCCAATCATGTCATGTTGAGACTTCTTTTTCTTTCCAGTCGTAAAACAATGGGAAACTTCTCCAATCCAGTCTCCAAGTGTGGACCTTGCCTGAGATGGCATAATCAGGGTCCTTCTCTGGGGAATTTGGAATTGAGCAAAGCTGCTCAATCTAGGATGGACTCTTGAACTGAAGTTGTATAAACTCAAGTGCTGTGGGAAACCTTAAGCTTTGAGAAGGTCAGAAACAGGTTTGCACTGTGAGAACAACAGAGCAAACATACGAGGACACTGGGCTCGGAGAGATGAGAATCCCTTACCAGTCGCCTTCCGGAGGCAGGTTACATTTTCTCATGAGGCCCTACTATACTGCTGAGGTTCTTGAGAAAACACCACATCTTTATAATAATTTGCCATTTTTTTTCTCTGAAATCAAACTAGCTTAAATAGCATTTTATTCCTTGCAACCTTCTTTCCTAGACTAAGATAGGTGGGGTTCCCACGGTTTGGTCTCACTCTGCAAATCAGCAGTGCTGCCGTACCTCTTAAAATGGAAGAAAGGCCAGGAAAATCTGGATTGTTCCATTTGGAGTATGCCAGGTTGGATAATATGCTTATTGCTATGTGTTCGTGTTATTTATTGTCACCAAGGACCAAATGGTTTGCCTACGCTCTCATTTAATTGCCACAATCTTATGATGAGGATTCTGAGAGGTTATGTAACTTGCTCGTGAACAGAGAGATGGGAAATGACAGAGCCGTGACTCGGGTCAGATCTCCCTGGCCATGCTGCAGAAGGTGCAAGGAAGATCCCGCCTCGGTCAGCCATGGACAGTATCAGAGAGGGCTTGGCTCGAGGTGACAATTCCGAAGGGCTCTCAGGGATGGCTGCTCTGGGCAGAGGGGAGTGTGAGTAACGAGGGGTGATTGAGAGGAGGGTCAGTGGAGCTCAAATTAGACTCTTCGTTATCGAGCATCCACAGTGATTCATTTGGTATGAGCATTTGGCCCCAACGTTCTAGAACTATAATGGGAGTGGTGAGAGTGACACAGTGGTGTTGCAACAAGGCCTTTCTACAAGCAGTCCTTTGACTTGCGAGGCAAAGCCCATTCCCCAAGACACAGAGGCTGGACCTGCTTCCTTATACCTGGCACTTACCTGATGAGACACGGTGCACGGATTCTCCTGAGCAAGGAATGGTGTGGTGGTCTCTTATGGGCTCATCACCAGCTTCGAATACCAGAGGAACTCATAATCTGGGCTTTCATTTCTTGCCAGAGAGAAGGCTGGTAACCTGTGGGCTGCCCTCAAAACCAGGAGCCGTTCCTTCCCATCCCAGGATGTGGCTCCCTACCGGGTGCCTCTAGGGAGGGGTTGCAAGGCCCTGCCCTCCGAAGGCAGCTAGTCTGTGACCGAGAAGTCTGTTTATGGTTGCCTCTGGGATTTGATTAAGAGGATGAAATGCACATGCTGGTGAATGGTTACGATCACTTGTTACGAAAATAAAGATGGCTTTCATATTTTTTTTAAGGCCTTGTCATTGCAAAGCCTTTTTCCTCTTCTCTTCTAACACTTATGACTTAGTTTCTGGAGATCAAAGTAGACAGAGCTTTCGCAACTCTTCACCCCAGCATTCCCAGAACATATGTTCATATCCAGGGCTCCCTAAACTCAAGGGAATTCGACCAAGCTTGTGGAGTGTAACGAATCCGATGATTTAAGAGCCCCAAGTCTTCTGTCTTTTCTGTTTTGTTGAATGAATGCCTTGTTTCGCGAGAGCTGGTCGTGATGCTAAGAGATAGTTGAAAAGTATTTTCCATGATGTCATGTGAGCTTGGTGGGGTGTTTTTGTTGGGTTTTTTTTTTGTTTTTTTTTTTTTTGCCTCTCCTATATAATAGCATACCTTCTCTTTTGGCCCGTTTTATCTTTCCCTAGTTTTGCACACAGCTGGATGGTAGAATGTCTGTTTTCTTTTCTCAGGCAGAATTAGATGTTTAGTGCTTTCCCACGTTGTTGTTAGGGTTGAATGAGCTTCAAAAAGTGCGAGAATATGTCCTAACAGTCGTAAACAGGAGCATTCTAGGATGGCAGAAATACTCATGTCGATGACGATTGTTAATTACACACTCCGTATCCCAGATTTAGTGACTCTCTTTCTGACAGATGTGAGCTGCTCCCTTACAAAGAGCTCAAAACCTGGAGGGCTTTTAATGTAGGTGGAGGCTGAGGGACCCAGGAGTTCGCTGAGTGCCAAAGACTGGCTTTGCCTCCAGTGCCGAGGCAGGCGCTGACACATCCCTTTGGCTAGGAGGGCACATTACATGCTGGAGACTAACCGAGAAAATGGTAAAGTCAGCTCTCGGGGGAGCCGGCCGAGAAAGCCCTACCCTCCGGGTTCACCAGCATGTTTGTTGAATTCTCTTTTTCTAGGAAAGTTTGCTGGCTTTATTCTTCCGTTGCAGAGAGAAGGAAAGCCCCAAGATATGGGCGATTTGCTCGACTCTTTCTTTAAGGATGAATTTCTCTGCTTGCAGTGAGAAACTTGTGTGCTGTTGAATTTCTTGGAGGGTGGAGACAGTGGGAAGAAGATTGTGTCCTACTACGGGAGTCGTTTTCCTCGGAAGTGGGAATGAGCAAGTGGTTTGAGTAAGGGGCAAGTTATCTGTGTGCTTTCCATCCTTCAGGTTCACCAGTACTATAGCTGTCTCCCAGAAGAGAAAGTTCCTTATGTCAACAGTCCTGGAGAGAAACTGCGAATCAAGCAGCTGTTACACCAGCTGCCGCCACATGACAATGAGGTAAGGGGCTCGAGGGGCCTTAAGAAGACTTTTCTTAGAACCTTCTGTGAATTGTTACCTTTTTCATAATCAAATGCTGTGATCAATGAGATCTCCAAAGAAAAACTCTGGCAATTTGTTTTAGGTTTTAGCTTCCTTAATTAGAGCCAGGAGAAACTGTCCGACACCTTCTGGAGAGTGTTACCAAAAAGCAGAATCTCATTATGGACTGGATTCGCCTCTGTGCCTGGCACTACTAGCTATTTTGGGGTAACCAGGGAGCACTAAAATTTAAAAACTCAAGTCCAGGTTTTCTTAGTTGAAGAAGAAAGTGCTGGTAGATGATTGAGATTTCTTGGGCCAATTCAAGCCCTGCCGTAAATTTGTGACTCTCTTGAATTTTCAACATCATTTCGTATTAAATGAGTGTGCAAGTTTTCCATGTTACGCTGCAGTAGAGGTTATGTGTCCAGATTTACAGTTCTGAACATCTGTGTTTTTGTCTTTTAAAGTCTGATTTGCCAGGGTCATCATTTGTGCTCTTGAAAGAATGGCTTGCAGACTATCCTTTTTTCTGAACCAAGACACACAGCGCTGTAAGCAGGCATTTCTTATCTTTGAAGTCAAATTGATCACACAGGAAATTTGTAAATACACTTTTAAATGAGCATCATGCTTGAGGGGTGTAGATTTGTAAACGAGAAATTCATTTTTAAGTATCTGGTCCTGAAAAATAGTAATCCTATAGAATTGAATTGTCCCTTTCACTCTGATTGCATTTTAAACAAAAACATCATTTTAAATTGAAAGGAGAGCTAATCCCTTCAGAAAGCTGGCCACCAGCTTTCTGCCCACTGTCCCCACCCACCAACTGGATCCCAGGGGAAATGAGTGAGTGCTTTTTTTCAGTCTTGATCTTCTCACATTTGAATAAAAAGGGATAATTCAAGAGCCTCAAAAATAAATTGAATAAGTAGAGCAAAAGCTTAAAAACTGAAGCAACTCCCTAGAAAGAGAGCCACAATTCCCTTTCCTGTTGTTTATTTCAGACTTCATAGAACAAATATAAATAATGCTTTCCCCTTTAAAGTGGAGAGCAAGCATTGTAACCTGATGCCTAGTTAACTCATTTGGAAGTGAAAATACGAGTTTTTACAAGCAGGAGGGGTGTGCCTTTCTTAAAAGCATGTCCATAAAATGTCACTGCTGTAACCATATTTTCTGGGCTGTTCAGGTCACTGTAGTGCTCCCTCTGGGACATCCACATGAAGACTTTTCTTTTTTTAACTTTTTTTTTACTTGATCTGCTGTCCTCTGCTTTTAGTAGTTTATTCTGTTTACAGTTAACTGGGGTTTCATGAAAAGAGACTATTCAAATTCCTTCTTCCCATGGGTGAGAATTCTTTACATGTGACCCAGTGGTCTGATTTCACCCGTTTGACATGGCCCTTTTGAGGACAAAGAGTGATTCTAAAATAGATATTTGATCATTCTCTTTTTCACCCAGATAAGAGAATTTTAATATATACAGCTGCACTGGTTTTCAAATTAGGATGCAGCAGACCTAGTTCAAAGGTTTCCCTCTAACCTTCTGTATAACAAATCGTCTGAGCAATTCAGTTAACCTTTCTGATGCTCAGATTACTTGAAAGTAAGACAGGAGGTGGATTAGATCCGTGTTTCCCAAAGTGTGGTGGATACATGGCTTTGGGTGGTACGTGGACCTGGCAGTAAATAAAACTGAACCACGTAAGGAGAGAATCACTGCCTTTTAAATTCTGTTTCATTCCTCATGATTGAGTGGTTGAGTAATCAAGGGGGAAATTTCAGTTTGGGCCAGCAGGTAGCTCACACACCCCCCAACTCTTGCTAGCCTCCATTTTAAGTATCAGCATTAAGAATCTCCTTCAGGATCTCCCACAAGCAAAAGTAGCCACCTAGATTCTAACAGTGTGGTCTGTTCTCACCCTATTTACTTTTATGCTCGCCTTTTATTTTTCACAGGTGATATTGATTTTCCATTTATAATCATAATATACTTTCTGTTTAAGAAAATGTTTTCAAGTAAAAAAAGTTGAGTCAGTTTTAACAACAGTATTCAGTAAATAATAGTTCAAGATTAAAGCAGAATTCCCAAGGTGAGCATAAATAAGGGGAGAGAATGGGAAAAAGCAGATTTGAATATCTTTCATGTCCCTCCCTTAATTCTGTGAGTTTCTGTGTTTAACAAGAAGGAAAATATCTTATGCAAGTTGAAGCGTTAACCAAAGCTCAGCGAGCAGCCCTCTCCCTCCTGCACACAGATAAACACACGGGGACGTCTGTGAGGCAACACAGGTATCTCTGGGCCAACTCCTCAGTCTCAAGCCTTTGGTTTCCCATTTTCCTAAAATGAGATGGGAAAACAGAAGCCATGAGCATGTTGACAACTGTTCTGGCTCACTGGCCTGGAGCCAATCTTTGGTGTTGAGGATCGCTTACATGGGCGCATGGAGTTGGAAGTATCAGGACCCCACAATCAATTTGAAGATCCAAATCAATTTGAAAGAAGGATTGAAAGTCGCAGATCTTGACGAGCACCAAAGCCATCCCAGATGATTTTGATCTTAGTGTGGTGAGCAGAGTGGGGCAGAAAGGATGAGGAAGAGTTACAGAACGTTTATCTTGCTGAAGACTGGGGCTCCGAAATTTGGAGCCTTTGGTAAGCTATTTTGACTGTCAACAATCTTAGTAGAGACTCACTTTAAATAGCCCCAAGCCTGGTGGTGTTCAAGTTCAGGTTAGATCTATAAAACCAAATGGGAGCACATTTAATGCGAAAACTCGGAGGCGTGAGCTTCAGGAATCCCAAAGAGCAAGGGCAGCCTCCTCCATGCCATTCTCTGTGTCTGTTCAGGTTCGATATTGCAACTCCCTGGATGAGGAAGAGAAGAGGGAGCTGAAGCTCTTCAGCAACCAGAGGAAACGTGAAAACTTGGGCCGAGGGAATGTCAGGCCCTTCCCAGTCACCATGACAGGAGCTATATGTGAACAGGTGAGTGTGGATTCCAGGAGTAAAGAGGGATTGCTCGGGCATCCTTTCTCTCATTTATTCATTTAACAATTATTTTATTGAGTGCCTGCTTTGTCCCAGACACAGTTCTGGGCCTGGGGGATATAGCAGTGAACAAAATTTGAAAGCTTGATCTTGCCCTTGTAAGGAGTTAAGTTCTAGGGAAGAAGTCAGACAATAACATAAAAAAGATAGAAAAAATACAACAGGGAAGGGGGTTAGGAAGTGCTGGGAGGTTGCAATTTTCATTAAAGTGGCTGGAAAAGCCCCACTTAGAAGATGGCTACTGAGCAAAGATATACAAGAACTGAGGGAGCGAGTCAAGCAGATCTCGGGGGACAGAGGGAACAACCAGCTCAAGGGCCCCGAGGCAAGAGCATTTCTTTGGTAAGTCTTCGGCCAGTATGGTTGGGCAGAGGGAGTAAAGGGAGAGAACTAGAAGAAAAAGAGTTTGTGGAGGGCCAGATCGTAGAAAGTTGTGCAAGCCATTGGAAGGAGATGGGGAGCTGTTGGAAAGATTTGAGCATTGCAGTGACATGATGGATTTATATTTTAAAATGACTCCTTTAGAACATGGAGTTTGCCTGGACCATGTGTCGGCCTCTCTTCCAGGAGTGTCCCAGGACCAGTGCCATTTAAATGATTATGATCATCTCCTTGGGTTTGAGGGTTCTTTAGCAAAGTGCATGAAGCCCCCATTCTCCCTAGGACCTCACTGAGCTCAAGAGTCTGGATTTGTTTTTTCTTCTGCTCTCCCGGGAAGTGCTCAGGGCATGGTGGAGGAGGGTTTTAAAGAAAGCTGGGTGGGAATCCAGCCTGCCTGAGTTCACCCTGGCCCGCCTCCTGGCCACCAAAAGCCTCCTGGTGCTGTGGGTTTTTGGCTCTTCTCCTGGCCCTGCTGCCTTTTTTGCAGCCCCATCTAACTCCTTAAGCTCTTAAGGGACCCATCCAGGTGCTAAAGACATGTGAGCTGAAGAGCAAGCAAGATACCACCTGAGAGGAATGGATGCCATTTGGGTACCCTTCACTGAGATTTCAGAGGGATAAGGAGAGAAGGTTCAGGTGGATGGAATGGAGACACTACCTACAAAGGGGAGCCAAAGGACCAGAGATTTGGAGGTGGGATCTTCATCCTTGAGACCCACCCTTGAGATGCAGGTGATCAGTGGTTAAGATGGGAGATTTGGTGTGCTCATTTCAGGGCATCTGCCACTCTCGAGTCAGTCTCCTGGAACCAGCCCAGCTGGGATTACCTAAGGCAAAAGGAAGGTTGGGCATTTCATGGGCAGATATCGAGAGTAGTATAGAATAGTGACAAGAGCATGGAGGCAAAAAAACAGAAGTTTGACTCATGTTTCTGCCAGATGACCTTGACCATGTTACTTTTCCTCAGTATTGTCACCTGAAAATGGGGATAAAAAATGCCTACGTCATAGAACTATGGTGAGGATTAATATGGGATTCCGTATTCAAGTAATTCAACAAGGAGCCCATTAGACTGAGGTGGCTCTAATGCCTTGGTAGCTCCATACACAAACCAAAATCTAAGCCAGTGTCAATGTACTGGAGTCTAAGAAAATGAAACTTAAGAACAACCAATTGCAGCCGACTAGGCTTTCCCAAATAAAGCAACCTCTTAAGCTATAGTTAATCAAATAATTTCCTTGCTTCTGCTTCTCTCTCAAATCCTCTTCCGAAGCTCCTGTCAGTGGAGTGCTCCTAACCACCTCACCTTGACACTTGCTGCCCAATCTGAATCAGTGTTGGAGCAAATCAACTCGAAAACTTGAATGTGCCTCAGTTTATCTCTTCACAGCGTGCATACCTCAGCTCTACTAATGTTATCATGAAAGGCATGGGTGGCACTTCCTGTGACATAATGTCTTTCTTTTGTCCAGTCACTCATGAATGAGCCCCCAGAGACTGTTCCATGAGGTCTTTACCTCATTTTCTATGAAGCATTTCAACCCATACGATGTCCATGGTGTGGGAAAGGTTTGGAAGTAGCTTTTCTGCTCTTTAAACATTGTCCCCAGAGCTCAGCCACTCACATGGGGCCATGGTACTAGACCCTCAGGCTGTGAACCTCACAGCCAATGCCATGGTCAGCAGAGAGCCTCCCCCTGCACCCGCTGCCTCACACTTTACTCCTTCCTCAAAGACCCTCGGGCTGTATTTGTTTTATCCCAACCCCAACACTAAGCATGGGTCATCAGGGATTCTGCCTTGTTCCTTTCTGGATAGGAGAAGGAAGTTTGGAAAATGAGTGAGAAGATAGGAGAGGGAGAGAGAAGAAGCCCTTTCTATAGTCTGGCCTTAGAAGTGGTGCCTTTTCAATCAAGATTATGTAAAAAGATGTTAGAGGAAGCAGGCTAAAAGCATGCCTGAAAGGCTTTTAGAGAAGAGCATTACAGGTGAGCATATTTTTATGACCCCCACGACCGCCATCTCAAAGTTCAGGCCCCACTCCCTCCCATGGCCCCATCTTTCCACCCGCCACCCCCACAGCCTACTCCTCCTGGAGTTAAACTTGTCTATGCCTCTGCATGGAGTTTGGACTATCTAAAAGCTAATGAGACCTTCACTCTGTGTGCTTGTCTCCTGCCTGCAGAGCTCCTGTATGTTATTATGCTAAAAGAGTTTTTCTCCTTTCCACCTTTGTGATTCCTTATTTTCTCAGGTACTTTATTGTCATCTTACTTGTTGGCCCTGGGAAAGGAGGGTGCGGGGAGGGCAAGAAAACCCAGCCCCACCACGTATGGAAAGCAGGTAGCACAGTGACTAGTTTGAAAATAAGTGCTCGATAACCAGCTAGTGGTGGTGGCAGTGGTCGTTTATCCTTTATGTGTGGCGCTGAGAGATGGGGGCTGGTGTTCATGCGGACGTTTCTGTTTGCCCCACAGTGCGGAGGCCAGATTAATGGCGGGGACATCGCTGTGTTTGCATCGCGAGCTGGCCACGGTGTTTGCTGGCACCCACCCTGCTTTATATGCACTGTCTGCAACGAGCTCCTGGTGGATTTGATCTACTTTTACCAAGATGGGAAGATATACTGTGGCAGGCACCATGCAGAGTGCCTGAAGCCGCGCTGTGCAGCCTGTGATGAGGTCAGAACACACTCCATGGAGCATGCAGCCCTGCCCATCACCCCTCAGTTCTGCTATAGCCAACATGTTGTCCTGTGGCTTCCTGCACAGAAGAAAACCATAGGCCACTCCGCCTGCTTATATTAACCCTTTCCAGAGGTTGCTAGAATGTCCAGGATTGTGGCCCAGTTTGCTGAATGTGGCAGTCTCATGGGCCTCCAGGTGGGAAGACAGTTTCTAGAGCTGAGGAGATTCCCAAGTGGCATACCCCTGGCACTAGGTCAGTTCAGAACTCTTAAAAAAAAAAAAAAAGGCACTGTGCAGCTCTAGATTTCAGGCCAAATCCCAGGGAGTAATCATCAGTAATGGTGTGTTGCTTGAATCTTAAAATAGTTCTATTTCCTAAGATTCAAGGGGACAGAATGGGTTGAGAAGAGAACAAAATGAGTAGCATTATTTGATTCTCCCACAATTTACAAAAGTTCTGATGAGGATTCAGGAGGCAGATGGATACTCCATTTGGATAGCTCTGCCCCACATTCTAAGAGGTACTTGAATTTGTTACCCCAGGTAAGAAAGCAGACGGGAACACCAGGCCCATGCCTGAAGCACCAGAGACACACCTAAGTATGATCTGTAAGCTGAAAGAATAGAAAATCTGGTTCTGCTTAAAAGTTTGGAGCAGAAAGGAGAATGTTCTAAACCTGACCACTTTTATGGGAATAATTTGGGGAAAGGTCATGGACAGGGGTTTTCTCCTGCACAAGGTAGACTTTTGGTTTTATCTGACGCTGTAAACAGCAATGTGGGACCCTATAAACAACACTCCCTTTTTCAGCCAGAGTCCACTATTACATGGGCGTTTCTTCTTTATAAAATGCCTATCAGAGATTCATTCTTTAGGAAGAGGTAGATCAGCCTTAACTAATTAGGATTCTAATGCTAATAGTGACGTTCACAAGAGACCCTTTAGGCAGGCAGTTGGGAAACTGAGTTCAGGTCCAACTCTGCAATTCTAGGCGGCCACTTTACCTTCATGCCTCTGTTTCCACATCTGGAAATTGGTGCTTACAATATGACTTTATATTATCTAATGGCAAATAGAATATGATGATTAAGGTGCTTTGAAATTTTTGTTTATTGAGATATAATTCGTATAGCATAAAGTTCACCCTTTTAAGGTGTAGAATTCAGTGGTTTTTAGTATATTCACAAAGTTGTTACAACCATCATTACCATCTAACTGCACATCATTTTCATCATTCAAAAAGAACCCCCATATCCATTAGCAGTCCCTCCCCTTTCCCCCCTCCCCCGGCCCCTGGCAGCCTAATCTCTTCTCTATGAATTTACACATTCTGGGCATTTCATATAAATAGAATAATACAATGTATGACTTTTTGTGTCTAGCTTCTTTGGCTTAGCATGATGTTTTTAAAGTTAATCCATGTTGTAGCATGTATCAGTACTTTCCTTTCCGTGTCTGAATAATATTTAATTGTATGTATCTATCACGTTTTGTTTAGCTATTTCTTAATTGATGGGCATGTAAGTTGTTTCGACTTTTTGACTATTATGAACAATGCTGCTATAGACTTTCTTTTACAAGTTTTTGTGTGGACATACATTTTCAGTTCTCTTGAGTATACTCCTAGGAGTGGAATTGCTGGATCATATGGTAATTCTGTGTTTAACTTTTTGAGGGAATCCAAACTGACTTCCAAAGCAGCTATACCATTTGACATTCCCACTCTCAGTGAATGAGAATTCCCCTTCCCCTCAACACTTACTATTGTCTGTCTTTTTCATTATAGTCGTCTTAGTGGGTGTGAAGTGATATCACATGGCGACTTTGATTTGCTTTTCTCTAATGGCTAATAATGTTGAGCATCTTTTCATGTATTTTTTGGCTATTTGTATATCTCCTTTTTTGGAGAAATGTCTATTCAAGTTCTTTGCCCATTTTTTCAGTTGGGTGACTTTTTTGTGTGTGTGAAGATGACTAGCCCTGAGCTAACATCCGTTGCCAATCCTCCTCTTTTTGCTGAGGAAGACTGGCCCTGGACTAACATCCATGCCCATCTTCCTATACTTTATATGGGGCGCCGCCACAGCATGGCTTGACAAGCGGCATGTCTGTCCGCGCCTGGGATCCGAACCAGTGAACCCCGGGCCGCCAAAGCGGAAAGCACGAACTTAACCACTACGCCACGAGGCTGGCCCCGACTTTTCTTTTTATTGTGGAGTTGTAAGAGATGTTTATGTATTCTGGATATTAGTCACTTATCAGATACATGATTTGCAAGTATTTTCTCCCATTCTGTAGTTTTATTTTCACTTTCTTGATGATGTCCTTTGAAGCACAAAAGTTGTTAATTTTGATGAGGTCCAATTTATCTATTTTTCCTTTTGTTGCTTATGCTTTTAGTGTCACATCTAAGAAACCATTGCCTAATTGGCTGATCCAAGTTCAAGAAAACTTCTACCTGGGTTTTCTTCTAGGCATTTTGTAGGTTTTTTGCTCTTAGATTTAGGTCTTTGATCCCTTTTGAGTTAATTTTTGTATATGGTGTGAGGTAGAGGCAAGGCTTTGGCATAAGGCTATCCCTTCACCATTTGTTGAAGAGATTATTCTTCTTCCATTGGATGTCTTTGGCATCCTTGTTGATAATCAATTGGCTATAAATATCTGGGTTTATTTCTGTGCTCTCTACTCTATTGATCCATATGTCTGTCTTTATACCAGTACCACACGGCCTTGATTACTGTCATTTATAGTAAGCTCTTAGATCTATGCTGTGAAATTTAAAAAACTCTGTATTAGGAGTCAAAACATGAATGCTTCTGAGGGCTAGGCAGGTACTGTAAATGAAGGTGACTCATTTTAAGGCAACAGTGAGCGGGGAAGAATATGGCAAACTGAAGAACTCACCACTCATCTGAAAGTAGCAACCCCTCTTCTCAGTTCTAGCTTCTTGTTGCCGTGCAGGAATGTGTACCAAGCATTGCCAAATGTTATATCTTCAGAATAGAATCCAAGATTCCAGGTGTTTATATGACATTTCCCATTTTTAAAAATATTGTATAGAGGCCAAATAAAACAGTTATATATGTTCAAAGTGCCCATGAGCTGTCAGTTTTGGGTCCTGCTTTATATTCTCCAGGGTAGAACATTCTTTCTCTTATTAGAATGTGTTAAATTAATCACTGGCCAGGCCAGAAACCATGTTTCATTGTGCTTTAGGCAAATCCAAATATGGGAGCTAATATAGATATAGAATAAACATATACATATAAATTTTTCTTTAATAATTTGTGGGCGGGACCTGCTTTCCTACTCTTTTGATTTGGGGCTCCCATAGCTTTCCTCCTTTAAAGTGCATTCTCATGGCTGGGTCTTAACCACTGACTGTTTGGCTTCCCCATCTCCAGATCATCTTTGCAGATGAATGCACGGAAGCTGAGGGGCGGCACTGGCACATGAAACACTTTTGCTGCTTCGAGTGCGAGACAGTGCTGGGCGGCCAGCGCTACATCATGAAGGAGGGAAGGCCCTACTGTTGCCACTGCTTCGAGTCCTTGTACGCAGAATATTGTGACACCTGTGCCCAGCACATAGGTGAGGCAATGCTTGGTGCTCAGCTCGGTCCTACTGTGACTGGATCTCCTTTGTGTCTGGTATGGTTAGAAGGCCTTTGGTTGCAAGTAATAGAAATGCAGCTCATACTAGCTTAAGTGAAAAAGGGAATTTCTTAGCTCACATTACTAGCAAGGCCAAGGAGTGTGCTGGCTTCAGGTGGGGATGGATCAAGTCTTCAAACAAAGTCTGTTTTTTTGTGTGTCTCGGCTCAGCTTGCTTCTCAGCTTGGCATCATTTGGAAGCAAGCTGTCTTCACATGGTTGCTAAGATGACCCCCAGGTATATAATCTTAGCACTTGCTTTCTCAAAAGGAGTGGGGCCGTGTCTCTTCTAATATACAGATTAGTTCCTCCAAATAGGAACCTAATCATCCCTGGTTTGGTCATATGTTCTACCTTGGAAACAAGAGAATAGGGTATTCCTCTTGGTCTGCCTGAGTCATGGACTGACCCCTGAGATGGGACTACGTGAGGTACAGCCCCACTACCAAGAGGAAAATGTAAACAGATGTCTTCCACAGCCTCCTTGGAAAAACTCGAGGGTTAGCAGAGGGAGGAATGAAAGCAGTCCTCTTGGTAGGAAGAGACACTCAAGAAAACCAAATGGTTTCTGGCAAGCATGTCTTTAAAAATAAAAAATCAGCAAAAGCTGACTCAGCCACATATAAAGCAAGAGAACCTCAAATAGCTCATAAGCTATAAACTCCCCAAATAAGCGGTAGATCTGAGATGGAGAAAATCGTTTTCCCTTTGCAAATAACCAATTTGTTCAATGCTTCGATGCTATTCCGGATCATGCTGCATCTGCGGCTTATTCATTCAACTTGCCTGTTCTGGCACCTTGAGAAGAGCCGCCCTTTAAAAAGAAAAAAAGAAGTTGGCAGCGGATGAATGTCTGTGAGACCAGCAGCCTGATCTTCCTGTGGCTTGTGCAGTTCCAAGAAATCTGCTCGGAAGCTGCCAGCTTCTTACCTATGGTGGGGAGATATGGAGATAATCAGCCTAGGAGCCCATTTTGCCCCACTTAAAAAGATTTTATCAGGAACAAAAAGAATTGGCTTTGTCTCCCTGGTTCCTCAGAAGTGATGTATTCAAGTGAAAAATTAGCTAGTAGTGTGGAGAGCTTTGTGTGCTGATAAAAATCACAGCTTTGTGGACAAGGCACCTACTGTGTGCTCAGTGGTCCTTTGTCGTTGGGCAATCCATCCACAGACTCAGGCCTGCTTCCTGAGGCCTTTCTGAGCTGGAGTCCCTGCCCAGCCAGGGTTAAACATTGCTGCTGACCTTTATGCAGCAGCATTCCCTTCTGGGGGCCTGGGTGATGTGCGAATCCCTTCTCCAAACCCCTAAAAACCTCACCCTCTCACAGCCCAATGCCGCAACCCTGTACCGAAGAGCTTTCATTTCTCACAAGATCAAAACAGTGAGACAGACTTTCTGTTATGCTGAGAGTTAGGAAATAGGGAGCCTGATTTGGACAGGTGGCTGGGCATGTGAGGAAGGGCAGGGGGTGGGACACTGTCAGGGGAAAATGATGCAACTTACCCAGCATTGCTCACCGTGGCTTCTGGATTTGCAAGTAGGTGCTTGCTCGGATGAGAGGGGCTGAGTGTACAGAAAACTTACCTATAGCAACGATACCCCTTCTCAGTAGTATTTCTGTTTCTTCTGTCCCTTTCCATTGAGGCTTAAAAGCTTCTCCAGAAACTGCCACTTAGAATTTGTGCTCAGTGGCTTGGAAGAGAGAAAATCTGTCTGTCACCACAGCATGTACACCTCAGAAGGCCCCTCTGTTTTCTTCTCTTTCTCTCTTCTTTTAGCTATTTGAAGCTTTGATTGGCATTCCCTTCTCTTCCCCTCTTAAATCCATAAAAGGCATCAATGTTTTACTGGAAAAGGGGACCTCTGGCCTGTCGTATTGTCACTGCTCTAGTTAAAATGCTGTCCCTGATTTTTTTTTCCTAAATCCACAGAATCCTAAATTCTGTAAAACATAATGTTCCTGTGACAGCAAAGGGTATGCTCTGCATATCATACCACAGTCCCTGGGTGCTTTACTCTGACCATATTATACAAATATTCCATATTTATACAGCCGCTCAGAGTGGACCCTGCATCAGGCAGCTGTTGCCAGGGCAACGGTACTTTTGCCTGCACACGGCAGAGTAAACAGTCCTATAAACAGAGCGAGGCTGTAGCAGCAGTAGACACATACACCCTCGGAGAAGTGCTTAAAGGGCTTAGAGAGGGAATAAAAAAGGAACGCTTAGATGTGGAACGGCAGAGCCCTTTTCCAGATGTTTAGAGTTCAGGAGCAGTTCAGAGCACCATCTGACATCGTTGATGTTTATCAGGGACCACGTTCCGCTGCCTGCTGGGCTGCTTTGAAACATGCCTCCCTTTCCACTCTCCCTACCGTGGCCCAGTCTTCTGCGAAGCTTCATCTCCAGAACTAGGCCTTTGCTGCCACATCTGAGTGTGTTTCCTTGCGGAAGTAGCTGGTGGAGGACGGGCTGTGGGAACTGGACTTCCTGTGTACCTCTAAGAGGGAGTGGGTAAGGCTGCAGCTGCTTGGGACACAGTGCTGAGGAGGAGCTCAGAGTAAGGACCCAGGGCAGCTGGGACAGGATGTCAGTACAAGCTCCTTGAAGGGGCCAGGGGGAGACCAAGCCAGCCTCAGAGTTCTTTCTTGGCCTGCATCTGGCAGCAGCCCTCAGAAATAGAGAGAGACAGGCATTAAGACCTAATAAAGATGCGAGAAGAAGAGCAGTCAGAATAGTTAGCAGGCACGGGCCTAAGCACTCTCTGCATATTAGTGTAGTCAATCCTCACAGCAACCCTAGGAAGTAAGTACTGTTATTATCCCCATTTTACTGCAGAGGAGACTGAGGCACAGAGAGATGAAGTCACTTGCCTAGGGTCACACAGCCAGACAGCAGCAGAGCCAAGATTTCAACCCAAGCTGATGGGTTTCAGCATGTTTACAACCAGCTGGAAGGGCCTGGAGCTGGGATTTGAACCTGTGTTTGTCTGAGCCCTGAAGCCTCACTCTCAACTACTAGAGAGCTGTGCCTCCCTGTGCGGCCTGCCCTGTTTCCTCCCAGGAGCCTGGGGAGGAAGTGTGGATGGAGACACAGCTCTGGGGCGGCTGTCTCTAGACCGCCCCGGCCTCCTGGGAATGCTGTGCTGAGAGGGAGTTGATCCAGGGTGGCCCTCTCACCTTGGAGGGGCCCTTGTGGCTGCTCCTGTCCCTCTAAAAATCCCCTCTTAGACCCTAGGGCCTGACTGTTAAATAAAGAAGCCCCCCCCCCCCGCCTTAGTTTAGGGAGGAGCCAGTAGGAGAAGAGTTTGCCTTCTGCCCCTCTGTCCCTGGGATCCAGGCACTTAAAGGAAAACAAGGAGAGCAGGGGGAAGCCAGGAGAGGCTGCTCTGCTGCTTGCCTTTTCTCTTTTTCTCCCAGTTTCTTGTCACCACCTCTCTAGACAGGTATCTAGAAGTCATTTCTGGAAAGTCCAGGCTCAGGACCCTCAGCCACTAAAGGTGAAGGTTCCCATTAGTACTACCCGTCCGGGAAGACATTTATTGTCAGACATCAGGAGTCTTGCAGAAGCCCCCTTCCATCCCACAGTATTTGCTGGGACTACGTTCTCAGCAGGCTCTCCCCACGGGAGGGGGGCCCCAGCAGCTCCCGGCTTCTGTTTTGCCAGTTTAGCAACTGCTGTCAAAAGAGAGCCTCCCCGGGGCACTATCTTAGCAACAGTCACAGGTGACCTACTGCAGTTCACGTGCTCACCCCTGAACTAGTCTCTAGGCTGGGAGATAGGTTTTTTACTGGCCAGGTGCTGGGTCTGGGCGTGAGTTGAGCCATACCCAAAGCTCATGGCCCAGGGGTGGCAGGGAGATGGTGTCCCACAAGGAGATTAAGTCCTAGAACCAGAGGAGGGCAGAAGAGATGCTGAGGAGCAAGAACAGCTGGGGCTGTGGGAAATTCCCGTATACAGGTGTAACAGGATCCCAGGTGTAACAGGATCCTGTAAACCAGGCACAGCCCTGGCATGGGGAAGAAATGTGTTTCCTCCTTTCCTGATGAGGTTAAGCAAAGGGTATGCGTGCTTATGGAGGGGAGCTATCTTTGACAAACCGTGTCCATATTTTTCCTTACCAAGAGCTGATTTTTCCTTACCAAGAGCTGAAATCCACTGTTTTCTTGTCCACTGAGCTGCTGTAGTGATTACCCTTTGGAATGGCATACACTGGTGATAGGGTTCAATTCATCTATCCATTCAACATATGAAGAGCCCCTAGGATGCACCAGGCCGTGTTCCTGGAAATACCAAAGAAACTTAATGACCCTGTCCTCATAGAGCTCACTTTTAGTGGGGGAGAGAACTGATAAACAGATGCACATATGTAGTGATGCAGTGTCAAGCGGTATTCACGCCATGAAGAAAAATACAGCAAGTAAGGGTGGAGAATGATAGAGAGCATGCTATTAGGGTGGGCAGGAAGACTTCTCCGAGGAGTTGGCATCTGAGCAGACCCCTGAGTAGAGTGGTGGAGACAGTATCAATGTCATGGTTAGGAGCAAGACTTCCTGGGTACAGATCTCATCTATGATTCTTAGCTAGTTTACATTAGGCGAGTTATTTAACCTCCTGTGCCTCTGTTTTCTCATCTGAAAAATGGAAATAATATTAGAAACCTACCTCATACAGTTGAGGGGTTAAATGAGTTTACATATATGCAAAGCATTTAAATCAGTGCTTCATCATACGTTAGTACCATTATTGCTGTTTGTCTCGAGAAATGTGTCCCAGGCAGAAGGATTCATGGACAGGCCATTTTGATCTAGTTTCTCTATACTCAGAGCAAATGAGTTAAGAAGGAGCTGACTGGTAAACAAGGGGGCTGTCATAATAGGACACGAATACCATTTACGTGGGGACCTGATCATTGACTTATTGACATTTTTTTCTTCTGCCCCTGGAACCCTGAGACAAACCAGGGTGCAGTATGCTGCACGTCGTATTGCAATACTCTGAGCAGCTCGTCAGCCTCTTCCATGTCTCTTCTTTCCCCAGGGATCGACCAAGGTCAGATGACCTATGACGGCCAACACTGGCACGCCACTGAGACCTGTTTCTGCTGTGCTCACTGCAAGAAATCTCTCCTGGGGCGGCCGTTCCTCCCAAAACAGGGCCAGATATTCTGTTCCCGGGCCTGCAGTGCTGGGGAGGACCCTAATGGCTCCGACTCATCCGATTCAGCCTTTCAGAATGCCAGGGCCAAGGAGTCCAGGCGTAGCGCCAAAATCGGCAAGAACAAGGGCAAGACGGAGGAGCCCGTGCTGAACCAGCACAGCCAGCTCCAGGTGAGTTCCAGTCGGCTGTCGGCCGATGTGGACCCCCTGTCGCTGCAGATGGACCTGCTCAGCCTGTCCAGCCAGACACCCAGCCTCAACCGGGACCCCATTTGGAGGAGCCGAGATGAGCCTTACCATTATGGGAACAAGATGGAGCAGAACCAGTCCCAGAGTCCTTTGCAGCTCCTCAGCCAGTGCAACATCAGAACTTCCTACAGTTCGGGAGGGCAAGGGGCTGGGGCCCAGCCTGACATGTGGGCCAAGCACTTCAGCAACCCCAAAAGGAGCTCGTCACTGGCCATGAAGGGGCATGGCGGCAGCTTCATCAAGGAATGCCGAGAGGACTATTACCCGGGAAGGCTGAGATCCCAGGAGAGCTACAGCGATATGTCCAGTCAGAGCTTTAGTGAGACCCGAGGCAGCATCCCGGTCCCCAAATATGAGGAGGAGGAGGAGGAGGAAGGGGGCATATCCGCTCAGCAGTGTCGGACCCGTCATCCCATCAGTTCCCTAAAGTACACTGAGGACATGACACCCACAGAGCAGACCCCTCGGGGCTCCATGGAATCGCTGGCCCTGTCTAATGCAACAGGTAGGTTCTTTTCACCTGGAAAACAGAGAGCAAGGGGGAATCTCCAGGTGACCTGATGCTGGTGCCCAGGATTTTAGTGTTGTCCCTGCCATGTGCCCTCCTCTAGCAGATTTTTGAGGAAGGTGAGCCCAAATTTCAGATGGCTTTTGTCTTTGATTGGATTCCCTATAAGCAGAGTCTGAGACAAGGATTAGATGCCCGTGATGTGTTGAGGGCATGCTTCCAGGGAAATAGAGTGAGAGAAGCAGGGCAGGATGTGGGGAGGAGCCAAGCGAAGAATGATGTCTAGGCTGGAGTCTAGCTGCAGCCTGATCCCACAGGGGTCTCTAGAGGATGAGTTGCACCATACGCTTTGTTCCCTCTTGCGGCAAAGGGGCTGACATTTTACACCACTGTGTCAGTCAGTCATTGACTTTGGGCTGCAGGAGTGACTCAGGGATGAGGCTGTGGATGTGGGCGTGGGGCAAGGCAGCTCCTGTCGGCCAAAGGCAACAGCCAAAGGAGAGAGGGCAGCTGTGACCTGGACGCAGTACTCACAAAACCAGGTGCTGCTTGGGACCCCAAAGCATCCATGACAGCTTCCGAGGCTGCTCTGAACCCCAGTGTCTCATTAGGAAGCTGGTTTTAATGTACAGATAAAGTCAAAAGAAATGTGCATAGATAAGGAGAAGGCAGGCAGGCTGAAAAGACAGAAGTGGAGAGAAAGAGAGACAGACACTCTGATGCCTGCTCTCTCCAAACAAATTGTCCAGCTGGTCGGTGTGCGTGGGAAGATGGATGTAGATGCTCTCTAAGATGGCGCTACTCAAATTGTAGTCTGAAGATCAGGGCTGGCCACAGTCCACAGCGACCTAAGTGCTGAAATTGACAGTGTTTAGAAATTCGTAGCACAATTTGACATTGCTGCGACATCCAAGTGCATGTTCAGTGGGCTCGTCTTATTGGTCCAGGAACAAACCAATCAGGGTTTTGTAGAACCCATGGGGGAGTTGTCAGTGGCATGTGCTGTGTATCAGTCGTGCTCAGCAGGGCCACATATCAGTCAGTCCACAATGGATTGAAAATAAAAACTGGTCCTTCCCCATGGATAGAGAGGTACTGCTCTAAGTTGCACTAAGTGTATCGGCCCCTTTCGGGCAGGACACTCGAGGAGGGAGACACACGTCTACCCCTTACAATAGGGATGCCATAGTCAAATGTGTCTCGATGGAGATTGTACAGACTTGCACATGTCAGCCCCATCTGGAGGGGACAGCCACTGCTCAGCTCCCCAGGTGACTTCCCCAAAGTCACCCAGCTTTTAAAAGATGGAGCTGGGATTTGAACCTGTGCATATGTCCCCAGAGCAATGCTCTTAATCACACCAGGCTGCCAGCGTACTATGAGCCCCATGCTGTCAAATCTACTAGTTTTTCCAGACAAGTTAAACATATGGAATTTTTTTTTGGTGAGGAAGATTGGCCCTGGGCTAACATCTGTTGCCAATCCTCCTCTTTTTGCTTAAGGAAGATTGTCCCTGAGCTAACATCTATGCCAATCTTTCTCTATTCTGTATGCGGGATGCCGCCACAGGATGGCTTGATGAGTGGTGTAGGTCCACACCCGGGATCTGAACCTGCGAACCCGGGCTGCCGAAGCGGAGCATGCCAACCTTAACCACTACGCCATGGGGCTGGCCCCAATACGTGGGTGTTTTTTAATGTGAAATCTATTTAAACTCTCTGCTAGACAAGCAAAATGTGTCTCTGAGTTGTAGGATGTCTATACAGTGTGTTTTTAACTTTTGTCCCCCTCAAATGCTTTCACGTCTATGTTCTCATTTGTCCTAGAGAACAAATAGCAAATATCCTTACCCCCGTGTTTCAGATGAGGAAAATGAGGCCTTGGTGACTAAGCACCTTGCCTAATGTCATTGAAGTGAGCAATTAGTGCAGAGTGATGACTGCCTGGCCTCCAGCCCAGTTTGTGTTATTCTCAAAAGATTCATGTGCTATAATTATTTAAGAGGCAGGAGACAGATAGGTAATTCAGCTTCTGAAGCAGAGTTTCTCAAAGCTAGACCACCTGCATTAGAAGCATTGGCTGCTCACTTAAAATATGGATTCCTGGGCCCCATACCCCTTGCACCAGAGCCTATAGAGGTGGGGCCCAGGAACCTGCATGTTAACCAGCTCCCTGCTGATGCTGATGCAGCCATTGTCTGAGAACAGTTGTTCCTGGGTTTGTCTGTCCTGACTTTATTGTCCTCAAACTGTGACTTATGAGGAAACCAGGAGATCTAGGGGTTGGGGAACGCTGGAAAGGCCATGTGGTTATGTTTGAAGAACATACAGTCTCTGATCCTAAGGAAGAGGCAGGAAATTTATCCCCTGATTTTCTATGGGTCTTTGGGCAAAGTAACTAATGCCTCTCTGTCTCTGAGGAAAAGCAGCCCTGAGCCATGTCTGACATAGCTGAGAAAAAGTCCTCAGATCAGCACTGTCCAATACAGTCGCCACTAGCTGCATATGACTACTGAAATTTGAATTAGTTAAAATTAAATGAAGTTAAAATTTCAGGCCATCAGCTGCACATTTCAGGTGCTCAACACCAATGAACTGAATTTTAAATTTCATTTAATTTGAATCATTTTAAATTTCAGTAGCCACATGTAGCTAGCGGCTACCCGGTTGGATAGCGCGTGACGGAAGTGAGCTGTTAGAATGAGCACAATTTCGACCCCATCGTTAGTCTCTTTGGAAGTTCTCACATGAGCCCTGGTTTTCCAGATTCTCACTTAACGGTTTGGAGTACCGGTTCAAATCCAGCCTTCATCATGTAGCAGCTGTGTGGTCTTGAACAAATTGCTTCAGTTCTATAAGGCTCAGTTTCCTCATCTGTGGAATGTAGTGAATAATACTACTTCCTTTGTAGGGTTTCTGTGACAATTAAATGATAATGCATTTTTAAACTCGTTAGTGTAGTCTTTGACACATATGACCCTCGGTAGCGGTTACCTGATCTTTTATTAGTATTATTTCTCTCATCCCAAACATACTGGTGCACAGTTTTGGCCTCTAGGAATGTTTTTGCTCCTGACATCTCCCAGCATCTCCAGCTGTGCAGGTTTGCATTTTTAGGTTTGAAAATGCTCCTTGGGCTCCTCCTTTTCCTAACCAGCGTGAGAAGAGCTGAACGTGGAAGAGAGACAGGGAAGTAAAAAAAAAATCCCTTTTGTGCCCCTGTGTTTCCATGGATCTGTCAGGCACAACAGCGTGGAAGAAAGATCGTGGCTAATATTCTAAGCACAGCCTCATCGTTCGTCACTGCAGCAGACCCTAAAGAGCCTTTCACTTCCTACGCCTCGCACACATGCACCAAGCACACGGTGTTGCCTAGACTTGGAAAGTCGGTCTTTTTACCGCCAACCCTCACTGTTGCATTTGAATTTTAGTAAAAAATTCAGTAGTCTTTTGAGAAGGCAGCATTCTGAACTGTCTGTGTATGTTTAAATCCTAGAATCACCGTCTATGAGTAACAGGTACGTGTCACCAAAGGTTTAGTCAGGACACCTGGATCCTTCAGTGAAAGCTAGATATCAGGATCATGGATTTTTTTTTTTCTTCCAGGGTCAGTTACTTATGCTATTGAATAAGTCTGTAGTGTTTAATCAGGCACAAGCATGATCTTTTCGTGGGCAGCATTTTTCCTCAGAACAGATCTGGAAAACCAGATAGCCCCACTGGCTTGCCAGCCTCAGATCTGGTCTTGGCACCTCCCGATTTGTTTAGAATTGGGAGCGTACATCCCTTCTCCTTGGAAAACACAGTCCATCCCTCATGTTCACACAGCGTGAGTCAGGCAAGCACAGTCACCATTTGCACCACCGCCGTGTAGGAGCCTCACAGAAGCTCTTTAACCCTGCTATTGCCTAAATGCACCTCTAAAGCAGCTTGCAGCCTGGGTGATCATAGTATTAGAAATAATGATAACAGCAAGATCGACAGCAACTAACATCATTGGGTGTTTATCATGTGCTTGGTAGAGTTCTAAGCACTTTACATGAGCTAACTCACTTAATCCTCACAACAACCCTAGGAGGTAGAGACAGTTGTTATTCCCATTTTACAGATGACACAAGTGAGGCGCAGAGAGGATAAGTAACCCAAGGCCACACAGCTTGGAAGTGAAGGAGCGGGATTCAAACTCAGTCATTCTAGCTCCAATGCCTGTGCCTTTAATCACTAGACCATGGCTGATGTGAGTGAGGATGATGATAATAACTGATGATACTCATAACATGACCTAGCATGCTAATGACTTCGTGGATAACATCTCTCTAAATCTTCATAACAAGCCTGTGAGATAAGTCTGATTATTATACCCATTTTACATATGAGTACGCTACAGTTCATAGAAGTTGTGACTCGTGGTCACCCCTGACGGCCAGGACTTGCGCCCAGTGCGATAGTCTGCAAAGCCTCTTAACCCCTCTGAGGCACATCCTCACGGGAAGGGTCGTGATCACAATCAGGAGATTTGTACAATGACTCTCTGAAGGGACAGGATTCCTTTTCCTGTTGTAGCCGGTTTGTTGCTGTGTCTCTGGCCCTGACAGGGGTAGAGGGAAGCTTGAGAGCACAGGTGTCATGAAAGCTGAACGGCAAGAGGCAAAGGTGGCTGACCAAGGTGATGTGCCCGGATCAGAGGCAAGAAAGACAAAGGAGACAGACAGATTGTCCAGGCGTTGGCACCCAGGCAGGACGCACCAATGGAGAGGAGACCAAGGCTGTAGTGCGACTTAGGGTCAGGGTTCAAGTCAGCTGGGACCAGGTATAGAGAAGAGCTGGAATTGGGACTGGTGGCCTCAGCAGAGGCCACACCAAAGGAGAGTGTCAGCTGGTCCCCAGCAAAGGGCCCCTGTGTGCAATGATGAGGCTGGGCATATGGCTGTTCCTTGAGGATCGGCCAGATTCTGTAAGGGGTGGTTGGCTCACAGAGAGCTGAGACCTATAGGAAGG